GATCATGAAATAGAGCGCCTCAAGGACCAGTGTGCTGATTCTAGTGAGCAAGCTATCTGAGCATCCAAAGCTGCCAAAACCAACTCGGATAGCCAACTTCAAGAAATAACCACCAAATCAGCACGCCTTGAGGCCAAATGTGCAAAATAGGCTCAGACGATCAACGATTTGCTACAAGACCTCACAAGGACTCAGTCAGAAATATGCCAAGAGCGATAGGCCAACCAGAGGCTTAGCAAAAGTCTCACTGAGCTACGCTGCAAAGAATGAGACAGGCTAGCTCAATATGGTCAAGTACTGCGAGAAAAGGACCGAGCCCTTGCAAAGCTCGACGAGCTGCAAGCCTTGGTCATCCATCAAGAAGCGAAGATTAAAGAGGTTCAAAAGTACAGTGAATATATGAGTCAGGCGGTCCAGAAGCAAACCAAAGCACTCGCTCGTCACGTCCGGGAAGCTGAAAGAGAATTGCATAGAGATCAAGACCTGCCTGTGGGTTTCTTTATGCTTTTTCGTTTCTGTCAAAAGTTGCTTCGTAGTATGGAATAAGGGAATGTACACTTTCTACGAGTAAATAAAATTTCTTTATTCAACAATTGTCCACTTGCATACATTTCATTCATTTGCATATTTGATTTCCCCTCCTTCATTTTTAATAAACAAGATAATAAAAAGGAAGGATTAACTGACACGTCTTCCAAATCAGAAGAATGGAGAGAAAGCCGCTCTTAATCAAGCTCTCCCCAACGATTGATCCACCACAAGAGGATAATAAGCCTCGGTCGTTGGTCCTCAAAATCAATAAGGAAGAGGGGGCAAGAACACCTGTGCGACTATTTATGCCACGTCCTTTCCCCTACGAATCAAATAAAGTTGTACCGTAGAGATATAGGGAGTCTTCATCAATAAAGGAGGATATCTCCAATATAGCCGGCATTGGGGGCATGACCAGAAGTGGAAGGATCTACTCCCCCAAGGAATTACAAAAAGATGCCCCCAAGAATAAAGGAAAAAATAAACAGATCGAAGAAAGAGAAAACAAACAATCCAAGGAAGAGACCGACGAGTTACTCTAGTTCATAAGACAAAGAAAGTATTCCATTATTGACCAACTCAATCATACACCTGCAAAGATAACTCTGTTATCTCTAATGATGAGCTCAGAACCGCATAGAAACGTCCTGATGAAGGTCTTGAGCGAAGCACATGTACCTCATAGTATATCCCAAGAAAAAGGTGAGAGGATCGTCGGTCACATTACGGCAAGCGATCACCTCACCTTCAAAGAGGAAGAACTCCCCCTTAAGGGGTCAACCCATAACAAGCCCTTGCACATTTCTGTCAAGAGCAAGGAGTACCTCATTGCTAAAGTTCTTGTGGATAACAGGTCATCCATGAACGTGATGCCCAAGTGCACACTCGACAAGCTGACTATACAAGGAACCCGTCTGTGCCCAAGCAGCACTATCGTTCGAGCCTTCGATGGATCCAAGCGAGAAGTAGTGGGAGAAGTCAATCTGCCAATCCAAGTCGGACCCACTATCTTCAATGTCGATTTCCATGTAATGAACATTACTCCGGTGTATAGTTGTCTCCTCGGCAGGCCTTGGATTCATGACGTTAAGGCAATACCTTCAACGCTCCACCAGAAAGTTAAGTTTATAGTGGACGACAAACTGGTCACGATCCAAGCAGAAGACGATATCCTGATCAATGGACCGTCTACCCAACCTTATGTAGATGCGGCTGAAGAGGCCCTTGAAACATCTTTTCAAGTGCTCGAAATTTCCAATGTAGAGAGACTTCCCAATAATACGAAGGTAGCCCGCATGATGATGAAGCATGGCTACCATCCTGGCCAAGGACTAGGGGCAGATTCCCAAGGAATGAGGGAACCCCCAGAATTCAAAGATAACCCCTTTAAGTATGGCCCTGACCCTATAAAGGGCCAAGCAAAAAGAAGAAAAGGGAAGTCTCCCCTCCGCACACTCAAGCAGATATTCAGAAGCGGAGGGATGCAAGCGTCAAGAGCTACCCTAGTCATTAGGAGATCTTTTTCTTTGCTTAAGGGATGTAAACCCAGTGATTGTTAGAGATTATCCCCCGGGGCTAGCCCGACCCCCGGGCATTTTTGGGCACATATTCCCTTACTAATTAATAAAGAATACATTTCTTACTATCTGTTTTCTTCTTGCTACTTCATGTCTAGACCTCATAATAACCTTGTGTAAACAAACAAAAGAGAAAGGAAGAATAAAAGTGCGTCCAAATAATCGAAATGTACCATTGCCATAATAACCAAGCTGGTTGATTAGAAGCACAAAATAAGGTTTTACCTCACCATAAATAAATTCGTGTTTCGCCAATATTGTGAAAAAGCAAAAAGAAAACGAAAAAGCCCATAGAATCCAAAGGCCCAAAGAAAAGGGCAAAATACCCGGTACGAAACCCACTAAGGGGGTGTAGACCCCAAATCTTGCCCGCCCTCATAATAAAGACTAGAAGACCTTCTATTCGAAGATGAATGAAGCCTAAGAAGCCACTAGGAGAGACTATTAGGCCCCATACTAGGATAGGAGGGATTTTTGGCACAAAAATAAGGATTCTCGCCTTTTAAGGTCGAGACCGCTGTCTCGAATGGCGAGACGGCCGTCTCGACCTTGTTAGACGAGACGACAATCTCGACCTGATAGGTGTGAATCCCTATAAATAGTCGCGCCATTCCCCTCATTTCACACAGTTCTTCCATTCTCTCTCTAGGCAATTATTCAAATTCTCTTTCTAGAACCGCTCCGAAGCATTTCCGGAGTTTTTGAGAACTTTCTAGAGTGTTTTATAGCGTTTTTGAGAGATTCCGGCGCTTTAAAGAGTGAAGGGCTGCCAAAAAGCACCCTAATTTCAAAGAATTAATAGAAAGCTTGCTTCGGAGGTTTCTATACTCTCTCTCTCTACTTTACCGCTTTAATTTTAATTATGTAATAGATATTAGGGCCATGTAATCATAATATTAAATTTCGCAAATAAAAGGGTAAAAGCATATTTTCATCGGTTTATTTATTTAAAGTAGTTGGCCCATCATAGGGAACCCGAAAGGGGCGTCGTAAGGGAACTAACACTTCCCTTACACGTAACTAACTCCCTTACCCAACTCTGGTTCAAATGACCAAAGTTGGTTTTTTGAAAACCAACGCCTTTTTACTCCTTTTCCAATGTTTCCGGTAAAAACATCGGTGGCCACTCCAAAAGAACCCTTCAAAAACTAGTTCTTGGTTTAGCCCGGTTATCGGACAATCCAAGAACGCCCTTTCGAAAACCTCGCCCCTAGGTTCAGCCCGGTTATCGGACAACCTAAAGGCGTTGTAACCACACCAATAAAAACGCGAAAATTGGAAAGTCGGAACCATCGCGTCGCTCCGACCACCTCGTTTTGACAGCGGTGACAGATGGCGACTTCACTGGGGAAGCCTAGAGAGTTGATCCCATTTAGTGATGGGCCAGCTTAAGTAAATAAACCAAAAAAATTACGCTTTTACCCCACCTTGTATTATAACATGTTTTAATGTTTGGCTTTAATAACTGTTGTTTGTTTATACTTACACAATTGTTTGAAATACAAAATGTACACAAACCCTTGCACACAACAGTTCCCTCTAAACCTGGGGGCAAGTGAGAAACACATAGGGAGTGGGTAGCAGGTACGGTTCGCTGTAGTGATGGCCTTGTGCCCACCAGTGTGATCGGAAACCACCACTCAAGGTGATAACCTTCCTCTTTTGGCACAAAGACTGACTATGGCCTTAGTGCTAAGCATGGTCGGAAGGCTGGAGAGTGGGGACCCTATAATGGGGGCACCTTGGGGGCCTTAGCCTTGGTGAGAACAGTTAGAACCTATCTTCGCCAATGCACTTTTCTGCAAGAAAACCCTACCTCGTGATTAAAACGACCTCTCGCCTATTCATGGATGATCGAATTGAGTGTGCATCTGTTTGTTGCATTTGTCTGTTGCATAGCATAACCAAACAACGGAAAAATCACAAAAAAATTCTTTTGCAATAAACACCCTTATCTCGGACAGTCTGCCTTTTAGCTAGCCTGGTTTCAGGTTCTTTGTAAGCTAAGTAGCCACGCAGTCCGACATAAGAGATAAGGGACGTAAACTATTCTTTCGCATAAAGCCATATTTTTTATCTCGGATAGTCTGCCTTTTAGCTAGCCTGGTTTCAGGTTCTTTGTAAGCTAAGTAGCCAGGCAGTCCAACAGAAGAGATAAAAGGCTATAAAATAAAAATAAAAATAAAAATTCAGTTTAAAACAATAAATGGGACCTGGTTTAAAAAATATTACCCCCATATAGGTAGTTTATTTTTCAAAAAAAAAACGTAAATATCATACAAAACATGATAAATAAAAATAAACACTCGCATTCATTCAATAAGCATCATTTTCATAAAACATGCATTTTGGTTTTATAAAATGGAGGGGACTAGTAGACAACAGAAGAAGGTGGACATTCCCCGATACCATGCTGAAAAATTGGAACGCCTTTGCGCGGTAATGCCACCGGAGGTCCGCTCTGACTTTGAAAAATCCTATGGACAGATTCTCGACCTGCTGAAGATCTGTGTCGATCAAGTTTTCGTCAGGGTATTAGTCCACTTCTGGAACTCCAGTCTGCGCTGCTTCGAATTTCCGCAGTTTGATATGGTGCCCACCTTGGAGGAGTACGAAATCATGTTGAAATGGCCCAAATCGGCTGGGGTCCATATACGCCATGGGGTATATACTCTTGCAGCACAAGTCGCTGCCATCATTCAACTACCATTTCGGCAGACCACCCTGATAGGAAAAGGGAACATCCAGGGTTGAAAGGTCTCAATGTTAGAAGACCATCTGTCCGATTTGGCTAAAAGGACAAAATGGGTCGCTTTTAACAAAACCTTGGCCTTAATAATATTCGGAACAATCTTGTTTCCCTTCCACCTCGACACAGTAGATCAAGCCGTCATGGACGCCTTCTTCGCCTGGGACGTGAACTCGAAGAGTCCCTTGCCTGCAATTCTTGCTGACACCTTGCTCTCGGTGGAATTCTACCACTAGAAGCAAGGAAAAACACTTCGTTGCTGCTCTTCACTACTCTTTTTGTGGGGCATTACACATTTTTACGCCTTTAGTCACATGGGGATGTTCCCCGATCCTTTGAGGAGCTTCTCCAGAATCCCTCTCCAACGACGCTTAACTTCAGAATGGAAGGACAAGTTGGAACACTCGGACGCCAACAATTTATCCTGGGTCTGCCCTTGGTTCCGACCCGGTCCAGTCCTCATCAGATGTGGAGATTATCCGAACGTACCTGTAGACCCCAAATCTTGCCCGGACCCTTAATAAAGCCGAAGATCGCCCATTCTGAAGATGGTTAAGACTTTATCAGGTCCCTAGTAGCTTGTTTTAGGTTCCATTTAGGATAGGAAGGGTTTTTAGAGGCATTAAAAATCGGGAAATCCGTCGGAGACAGCAGATGGCCGTCCAGAACAGGTGGATGGCCGTCCAGAACAGGCAGACGGCCGTCCATGGCAACTTTAAGGCCATGGACGGCCGTCCACTTAGCTTGGACGGCCGTCCACACTGCATGGACGACCGTCCATGGCCACTTTTTGCCATGGACGGTCGTCCGCTTTGTCCAGACGGCCATCCACCTTTTCCAGGCCTGAATCCCTATAAATAGGGGCCTCATTCCTCCGAATTTTCACACCTTTTCCACTCCTCCACTCTCTTGAAAGCTTTTTGGCACTTGAGAGTGACCCTGAGCATTATTCTGGGGTTCGAGGGAGCTTTCCGATTTCCATTAAGGTTGAAATCGGTTAAGGAAGTCTCTTTTTGAGACATCCGGCCCTCGGTAGAGTGACTTTTCTTTATTTTGCGGGAGGAGCGTGCTTGTAGAGTGTGGGGACTGCCAAAAAGCGTCCTCACATTTTAGAAGAGTTAATATAGAGCTCGCTTCGGAGGTTCCTTCTCTATTCTCTGTCTCTTTTACTGCTTTCTTTATCGCTTTCTTTGTGTGCATTAGATAATAGAGCCATGTAGATATTTAAATTCTACAAGTAGATCAAGTAATAGGGTAAAAATGTAATTTCTTTAAGCGTTTATTTTCTAAGTTAGTCCATCATAGGGAACCCGAAAGGGGCGTTGTGGGGGTGTTAACACCTTCCCCACACGTAACTAACTCCCTTACCCGACTCTGGTTGTAATGGCCAAAGTTGGTTTTTTCTAAAACCACTGCCTTTTTCTTTTTTACCTTTTTCAGTGTTTAAGGTTAAAACACTGATGGCGACTCCTCGAACCTATACAAAAACCTCGTCTTTAGGTCCAGCCCGGTTATCGAACGGCCTAAAGGCGTTGAACCGTTTCTTTCAAAGAAAACGCGAGTCAATTAAAAACCATCGCGTCGCTCTGACCGCCTCTTCTAACGGCGGCGGCAGATGGCGACTCCGCTGGGGTAGCTAGAGAGTTGATCCCATTTAGTGATGGACTAGTTTAGGAAATAAAAACTAGAAATTATGCTTTTACCCTTTCTTTCCTTTATAACATGCTTTACTGTTTGACTTTAATAATTGTTGTATGATTATTTTCTGCAATTGTCTGAAATAAAATTGTACACAACCTTTGCACACTACAGTCCCTCTATACCCGGGGAAAGAGAGAATACACATAGGGAGTGGGTGGCAGGTACGGTCGACCATGGTTATGGCCATAGTGCCTGCAGGTCCTTGTCGGAAACCACCACTCAAGGTGAAAACTTTCTTTTTCTCGGTCTAAGAACGTTGACACGGACATCCGTGCATGGTTTGAAGACTGGGAGATTGAAGGGTCCCTATAATGGGGGCACCTTGGGGGCCTGGCCTTGGTGAGAATAGTTAGAACCTACCTTTGCCTATGCACTTTTCTGTAGGAAACCCCTACCTCGTAATTAAACATCACTCTGCTCGCGGATGAGTGAATTGTTTGCGCATTCGTTTGTTGCATTTGTTTGTTGCATAGCATAATCATACAACAGAAAAAAAAAAAAAAAAAAATATATATATATATATATATATATATATATATATAATGAAACCTCAAAAATATTTTCGCAATAAACACCCTTATCTCGGACAATCTGCCTTTTAGGTAGCCTGGTTTCAGGTTCTTTGTAAGCTAAGTGGGCACGCAGTCCCACAGAAGAGATAAGGGACGCTAAAACCATTCTTTTGCAATAACCATTTTTATCTCGGACGGTCTGCCTTTTAGCTAGTCTGGTTTCAGGTTCTTTGTAAGCTAAGTAGCCACGCAGTCCAATAGAAGAGATAAAAGGTTTTAAAATAAATCAAAATAAATGAGAGGAGATCGGGCCTTTTTCATATTAAGCATTGAATCCATCATACAGGTAGTTTTATTATTCTTCAAAAAATATATATATAAAAATCATGTACCATATAGAAAATAAAACATGATAATATTTAGAAAAAACAAACAGTTTCATGCATACGAAAGCATCATACTCATACCATGCATTTTTTGTCATTTCTAGAAAATGGAGGGATCAGGCAGTAAACAGTTGGGAAAAGTAGACATTCCCCGATACCGTGTTGAGAAGTTGGAGCAGTTATGCGCACTCATGCCATCGGAAGTTCGATCCGACTTCGAGAGATCTTACAGACGGATTTTGGACCTCTTGAAAATATTTGTTGACCACGTGTTCATCAGGGTCCTGATCCACTTCTGGAACTCCAGATTGCACTGCTTCGAGTTCCCTCAGTTTGATTTGGTTCCGACTTTGGAAGAGTACGAACTTATGATCAGATGGCCCAAGTCAGCTGGGGTATACATTAGCCAGGGGGCTTACGTCTCAGTAAACAAGGTCGCTCACCTCATCCGATTACCACTTCCACAGTCTGCCCTGAAGGGAAAAGGGAGCGTTCAGGGGTGGAAGATATCTCTTTTAGAGGACCACTTATCCTCTCTGGCTGAAAAAGGAGATTGGCCCACATTCAACAAGACTCTGGCATTAATTATGTTTGGGACCTTTTTCTTCCCTTTCCATAATGACGTCGTGGATCACGCCGCAATGGATGCCTTCTTTGCCTGGGACGCACATTTAAAAAGTCTCGTGCCTGCGCTTCTTGCCGACACCTTGCTGTCAGTAGAATTCTGTCATCACAAGCAAGGAAAAACACTCCGCTGTTGTTCTGCATTATTGTTTGTTTGGGGTATCACTCACTTCTATGCTTCAAGCCACATGGGGGCATTCCTAGACCCGTTGAGGAGCTTCTCGAAGATCCCCCTCCATCATCGTGGTGCCATGGAGTGGAAGACTGAGTTGGAGCACTGGAACATAGATCACATATCCTGGGCATGTCCTTGGTTCCGACCTGGCCCTGTTCTTATCCGATGCGGAGATCACCCCAGTGTACCATTATTGGGCCTCAGGGGTTTCATAACCTATTCTCCGAAGATAGCTATGAGGCAGCTCATGAGGACCCAAACCACCCCAACACAGGAAGAAATCGGGGGATTGTGTTTCTTCTGCAGTTCCAGCAGCTTCAAGGATGCTTCCGCTTCTAGTGATAGCTATGAGACCAGTCTATGTGGGGGACGAAGAGCTTGGCAGGGCTCGAATAGCAGCTTCTAGTGATTTTGAAGAATGGAGGAAGAATAGAAGGGTGCCACATCCATCCACTCCATCCCCCTCACTGTCAGTAAATGCAGAACTACGAACCCGAGTCGATGCCTTGACCCAAAGGATAGAAATTATGGGAGCCCAATTGAGAGGTCTTGAAGAAAAAGAACAAGAATCTATCCTTACCATCGATGGTCTGCAAAGGCAATGCAAGAAGAAGGACCAAGAGATAGAGTGTCTCAAGGACCAGTGCGCTGACTCCAACCAAGAGGTTGCCCGAGCATCTAAAGTTGTTAGAGCTAACTCGGATAATCAAATCCAGGAAATAACGGCCAAATTAGCACACCTTGAGGCCGAATTGGCAAAGCAGGCACAAGTGACCAAGATGATGCAACGAGATCTCGAAAGAACTCAGTCTGAAGCACGGAAAAAGAGGGAAGCCGCCCATAGACTTAATAGGGACTTGGCTGAGCTACGATGCAAGGAGAGAGACAGATTAGCTCAGTACGGCCAAGTGTTGCAAGAAAGAGACCGAGCCCTTGAAAAACTTGAGGACTTACAGGCTTTGGTCATCCATCAAGAGGCAAAGATAGAGGAGGCTCGTAAATACAGTGAAGATATGAGCCAGGCGGTCCATCGCCAGTCTGAAGTACTCACCCATCATGTACGGGAAGCCAAAGGGGAATTACGTAGAAACCAAAGCCCGCCTGTGGGTTTCTTTAGGCTTTTCCGTTTCTGCCAAAATGTACTTCGTAGCATGGCCTAGGGGAATGTACACTTTTTCCAGATAAATAGAATCACGTTTTGTTTATCTATACAACTGTTTATTGCATTCATCTCGCATTCATTCACATATCTCTCCTTGCTTTAAAAATTAATAAGACAATAAAAAAGAAAGGTTAACTGATGTGTTGTCATACAACAAAAAGAATGGAATGGAAACCACTCATCATCAGTCTTTCCGCAACGGTTGAGCCACCCACAACGGACAATAAAACTCAACCGCTAGTTATCACGATCGGTAAAGAAGAGGGGACTAGGACACCATTGCGATTATTTATGCCTCGCCCTTTCCCCTACGAATGAAACAAAGTTGTACCATGGAAATACGCAGTAAACGAAGACGTTTCCAATATAGCCGGCATTGGGGGCCCGACCAGAAGTGGGCGAATATATGCTCCCAAGGATTCACAAGAAGATGCCACCAAAAATAAAGGAAAAAAGAAAGAAACCGAAGAAGAAAACAAAGGAGAATCCAAGGAGGAAGCAGACGAATTACTCCAGTTCATAAAGCAGAGTGAATACTCCATCATAGACCAACTCAACCGCACGCCCGCGAAGATAACTTTGTTGTCTCTGATAATGAGTTCGGAACCACATCGAAACGCACTGCTGAGGGTCTTGAACGAAGCCTACGTATCCCATACCATATCCCAAGACAAGTTCGAAGGAATCATTGGGAACATCACAACCAGTAATTATCTTACCTTCACCGATGAAGAACTTCCCCCTGGAGGGTCGAGCCATAACAAGCCTTTACACATATCTTTCAAGTGTAAAGAATACCTCATCGCCAAAGTCCTGGTGGATAATGGGTCATCCCTGAACGTCATGCCTAGGTGCACGCTCGACAAATTGGCAATTCAAGGAGCCCATATGCGTCTGAGCAGCATTGTCGTTTGAGCCTTCGACGGATCAAAACGTGAGGTAGTAGGAGAAATCAATCTACCAATCTGGGTAGGTCCCACTATTTTTAACGTGGAC